TTTTTTTTTATCTAGTTAGTGCATCGAATTAGTCATTTTTTTTTTATTTTCCTTATGGTTTTCCGAATAAATGGGAAAAACTGACAATTTCTTGTACAATTTTTGTCGATGAAATGTTTCTTTTTATTAGAAATGGTTAAACGTTGCGTACAGATATAAATTAAATTACTCTGTATACGCTCCCTTCTAATTTCTTCCTAAAACAGTGGCACACCCACCAGCAGACTAGGTTTTTTTCTTTTTTGGCTTGCGTGAATTACGAACGTCGTCGCAAGGATTATTTAGTAGGTATTATCTCATTATGTAAACTAATTTATGACTATAGACGTTTTCACGGAAACCTAAAAAAAAAAATTATTAAGAAAAATATTAATTATTACCGACTAACGGGTCTTAGTTTTTTTTTTTTTTTTTTTTTTTTAAAACTTAATCGTATTTAATATATACCTATATGTATATATATATATATTTTTTTTTTATAGGCATGTAAGATTACACTCACGTCCGGGTTGTAATAAATCAATTCGAATAATATTATTATATTAAACGAAAAATTAAGTCTGCAGCCGTTATTAAATTTAAATTAATTACTTTTCACGTTTTATACGTCTTTAGTTCAGAAACATTTTCAATGTCAAAACGCGGATTTTGTTTTTATTCTCTTTTCGCCGTTGCGCGCGTACATCATAATGTACGTATGGATCCGTAACCGCCTCACGCATTTGAGTAGGGTTACCTTTTCACTGTTTAGTTAGAGACGTCTAAACTTTCCCATATGCATTATAAGTTGTTGTCGGAACAATGTTTTCCGCAGGTTGTGTGTGGGTTTGAAGTTCTATATAATATTATAAACGCGCGACGAGGATGATACACGCAAACACACACACACACATTATTCTCATTTTAACATTATATAAGTGTAATTATTTGTACCGTTACATGCATATAGTACATATATATTTATGAGAATCGCTAGACGTCGCAGCCGAATGCGACGTTCTCATTGGTTATCATTATTGTTACGACATAATCGCGCTCCCCGCATTATCATAATTTTGTCACAATCGAAATAATTATATTTCATTATAACGATGCGCGATATGAAACCAACGCCAAAGAGTGAGAAATTTAAAAAAAAAAAAAAAACGCGTTTTAAGATTATTACATAATATTCATTCAGTTTGATTTCATAATTTGTTAGATAACTGAAGCTGATCGAATGTAAACGCGTATAATGTACTGGCTCTACTTCTACTATGAACAAATGGTACAGTTTATTTATTATTTTTTTTTTTTTTGTCTGCCTCTAAACATGGTTTCGATCGGAGATTACATAACTTATTGTTTTCAATCCATTTATTAAATACAACAAACACATCGTAATTATACTTAACAATATTTTTTGTGTAGACAGACATACTGATATACTCAGGGACGTATTTGGGGGGGGGGAGTCCGAAGACGTCATAATATTTTAAGACGTGGTGAAATAGCAGTTTGTTTTTAAATATCAACCCCGCCCTACAGTTTACGTTCACTCATTTGTGTCTTAAATGATGTGTTGTGTTAGGTCCTAGAGTGTACAATACAGAATGTAAAGTAAGCAGCTTGAAATTCCAATGTGTTGTAAGAAAAATATGTTTTTATGATGAAAGGGTGCTAAAAATGTAAATACGTCTCTGAGGGTTATATACTTCGTTCACGTAGACTTTTATAATCAGTGGTGTTCCCGTAGGGTATATTACGTGTTACATGCTGTACAGTAGAAATGATTTGTTGAAAAAGCACAGGTAAACTACGTGTACTTTCAAATAGTTTTTCAAACAAACCAAATAGCTATGATATATCAATATTGTTATTTATTGCCTGTTCACATCACGCATACCTCCAAAACCATAATAGCAATATAAATTGAATTTATTTCAGTAATTCAAATTTTGACAGATTAACAATTTTTTTTACAAACATACGATGTATATAATATTTTTTTTGCGATCCTCGAGAACATCGCATATATGATCATCATCTTAAGAAAAACGGACCTAAAATACAACCAAATATAAGATAATAAACATCAATTTCACGGTAAATATCGCGCATTTTAACAATTTTCGCACAAACTGTCACACAATTCAAGTTTTCTTGTTGTTGACGGTTATTAAGTTCAGTGAAAAAAAAAAAAAACTAAATAAATACTATTTTCTAAATGTTTTATTTTATAGTTTCAAGTCAATTTTTTGTCATGGTCCAAGGTAAAAAAAAAAAAAAAAAATGATTGTATAATTTGATATCTATTTCCATGTAACCTACCAATAAACCATACGAAAGACATAAAATATCCCATAAATTGCAGAGATATTGTATTATAGTATAATCTAAAAAAAAAAAGGGGTTGGAACACTACTGTTTATAATGCATTCTGGGGTGTAAGAAACATACGTGGATAAAAATATATATTTCAAATGTGAATGTACCACTAGTCTAAAATAGTAACAGACATTTTAAACCGTTCCTACTCATTAATGTTACAATTCTACATTCCCCTGAAGTTATACCCATCAGCTTGACATTGAGTTTGGTCCGGGTGCAAGAACGGTCGCATTAAGTTAAAACCGCTAGAAAGCGTATATTTTTAAAAATTAAAAACGGAGTAAATTATACACGGCATGAAAAACACCAATATGTCACTGGTTGAACTACCGCTACGTAAAAAATCACGTCTATCGGTTAATTGTTCTGAAAGAAGGACGAACATTGACCGTTAAAAATAAACGTGCTTTCTCGTTTATCAGTAAAGATTTTGTCGGTGATAAATAACAATGCATTTTTAACACGCCGTATCGCAGCACATGCGCCGATTAAGTTGTAAATTTAAAATATAACGATTCGTCGGGCATGCCGTACATTCTTTTAAAATGAATTTCGAGTCATAATTTTTTTTGATATCATTATAAACGGAGAATATTATGCTCACGCGCCATTGTTAAGAGCGCTAATATTACGTAACTTAAGATGTCCGCGGAAGTGACAGTATAATATTACAATTTTTTAAGTACGAATATAGCCCGATTATACCCGTGTACAGTGATAATATTATACAAGTGTCCGGTGAACAAGTTAATTATATCACTGTAAGTCGGTAAATATTGCAATTTACAGGACTATAAGCAAATTGTATACTTAACCACGAGTGCTTTCTTCAGAGAGGTTATATTATCCGCGTCACGCTTTTGTTTTTATGATAAACAGTATTTTTGAATTTTTCTAATTAATTTCAAAACGTACAATCTTGAATTTCGACATCGGTCTACGGTGTACGTATTGATTTCCGTTTGGAGAAACGAGCGCGACTCCAGCAATTATCTCTTATCTCTGTCCAGATACACGGACATTATACCTGTATACGACACTGGTAGGTACGACGGTTGTCGATGGTATGATTGGCGAAACGGTGTATTAAATTGTGCACAACGACTGATTGATAAAAAACGTTCTCCTAGTTTCCCTTGTGATTTCGTGACGCCGTCTCTCGGTTTATCGTCAAACACCGTCACACATCAGACGACCAGCACGGTTTTGGGCTCAAAAACATTTTTATTTTACGGAAATAATTGTCACGGCTCACAGTGCGACCCGATCTCGATGATTATTTTTCTCGATAGAACTACGAACGTAAATTTATTCGACTTCTTTTTACTAAATTTTTTGCAGGTACCGCTATTTTAAATCAAATGAAAAGTCGAAGTTCAACACAAGCTGTAGAATGTTGTTATTTATCGAGTAAAAACAAAATAGCAGACACGCCTATTATGTTACAAATCAGTTATTTCTGGTCTCCCGAAATAATTTTCGTTAGTAAAAGCGGCTGCCCCCTTTCTCCTAAATGGCTATCGAGTGATAAAAAGCAAACCGGCCACCGGGTTCTTTAAGAATCACCGACGAAATCAATTTAAATTCTAATAAATATTTATCATTTTTTATATATTTATATTATTTTTTATCTCGTGTACAAACATAATAAAAACGTCTATTTCATTTAAAATTACTATAAAGGAGAACCGAGGAATAATATTATGACCGAAGACATTTATTTACCGTCTATTGACTACTGCTGCAGCGAATACACACGTATTTAGTTGTACACAATAGGCGCAAAATCTTGAATTCTCGAACGACAGAGGGGTAGAGAGGGTATGGGAGAACGAACGAAATTGGTTTCCAAAAAGTACAACGTAATGGTACGCGCATCTCCTCGTTCGTGTATAGAATACAGATTTTTTATAATATACATGCATAATATATTATTATAACTAGCAAACACCGAAGGGAAATTGTGTACACAAGAATAACTCAACACTGATTATTATTTATTATTATCATTTTTACACAGAAGTAGTATATGATGTATACAATGTTGATTTCGTTTCGGTCTTTTTTTTTTTTTTTTTTTTTTTTTCATCTTCGAATGGTACACAATTATTATTTTAGTAATTTAACTGTGTACACGAGAGATTACGGAGATTATTTATTCAATTATTTAAACACTGACGTCAACCGTATTATTAAATACATGCATATGATTTTATATTATATTTATGTAGTGTAAAAGTCATAGAGTCATAAGTTATAAAGTATAGAAATTATCGGAAACCTATAATACACAAGTGTAATAGTTCATTTTTAATTTATAAATAGCAATTAACCGGGCGGTCCACCACCGGACGCCCCTCCGAAGCACGGTTTTTGTTGACCACGGTTCTTCCGGCTCGATAAACACAATCCGAATATTACGCTTATTATTATTGGAAATCTCAGAGTTTCGCGTAAATATTATCGTTCGTTTTCCAGCAGGTGTATTAAAATTATTATTGTCTGGAGTTATTCGGTTTCTAGGACCGTCGCAGCCGATTGTCCAGCTATTTCTATCAACTCTATCCGTTTTAAAAACCTTCTAATTTTGTCCTTCTCCCGAACTTTCCGAATTATTATTTTTTTTTTTTTTACGCCAACGTTCTCCACCTCATTTTCGGCGTACCCAAAGATTGTTTTCCTATTGGGTTCTGTTGCAGAGTACTGCCCGTATAATAGATAGGTCTCGGCTTCTCCGCGTACGTCCAGCCCACCGCAGTCTTTCTTTTGCAATGACCATTATTTTCATTCGCATCGTCCGTGATTTTCTGTTTTTCTGCCTCAATCATTTTCCGGTTACGTTATCCTTTACCGCGGGTCCAAAAATCATCCGGGATATTTTTCTTTCATGTACCGAAAATCTCATTTCCGTCTATATTCTCCGACGGTCGAGTTTCAGACCCGCACAATACCGCCCGGTCGTACAATGGTATAGCAGTAGTACATTAAGTAAATTAATTTCAATAAATAATTCGCGTGTAGAAATCGTCTGTAAGTGTATACCGTCTCATTGTATAAATTATAATAATACGGAGTGTGAACCTGTCGCGGGTACATTACATTTTAAAATATCGATTGTTGTATAACTATCGGTGAAAATGATGTAACTCGAATTTACGAGAGTAATAATAATTCATGAGATAAGGCCGACACGCAGATGGGAATTCGTTTATAGCATATTAATGTACTCGTATACATAGTTAGACGAGCCGGATGAACGCAATTAAATATTCACCGCATTAATCGGGACATAATTTTGTATTAAATTCTAAAATGCCCCGAGATAAAAAAAAAAAAAAAAAACCATTTAAAATTTAAAAAATATGATTTTTTCGACAAATTGTACGCATGTTATTATTATGCAGTTTTTTTTAATCATCTTCGCTAATATTTCGTCCCTGCGAAACAGTGAGTAGTCGAATTTATTCGTTATTAAACTCACTTTCTCAAAAGGACGCGTGGTACGCGGAGGAATTTGATCAAAAAGTTATTTAAATTTGTACAGCTTGTTTACAATTATTTTACGATTCACGTGTATAATTAAGCACGAGTCATAGATTTAACAACCGTCATTTTCATTGACCTAGTTTAATATTACTATTTGTTCTATACTATGGCAGTTTTACTATCAAGAATGCCGTACAGTTACAATGACCAAATCAATTTGTCGAGGTTATTCAAAACCCCGACTTTTCCAACATTACCCGTGTCCACCAAAACCAATATTATTTAGCTCACTATTAATTCGATAAATGTTTAGCGGTTGTTCGCGCGACCCGGCATAGGCGTATTATTATAATATACATTATATAGGTTAAAAAATATTAAATTTTGTTTAAAAAAAAAAAAAACGACGTACGGGTATTGTATTTATGCAGTATTGTTTAATGAAGAAAATATTTTATTTTATCAAAAAAATTGTCGAATCTCAAAAAAAAAAAGATGATATAACTGTACGGTATACCTTGGCTATATACATTATAATTAGTTGATATATATATTTTTTTTTTTTTTCAAATTACAAGGATATATTTTTCACAAAACCGTATCCGAAATTTTAACCGTCTTGTCGTAATAAATATTTCGCGCGTTATTCCATCCGGCCGTTTTTCTCATTCGGCGGTAACGCGTTGCGCCCATCGTGTCGTACACGCGCGCGTATCGGGACACGGGACACGTCCGAATACCACGTCCGCGCACCGTTTCGCCGGCGAATCGCGGACGTTCCGTCTTGATAATTATTCATCCGGCCCGGGAATATACGCATCGCGTGCAGTTAGGCGGGTACGCGCGTTCTACCGGCTCAGTCGGTATTATAACAGTAACAGCGATGTTTTACACGCCGCCGTACTTTATTACGGATACCGCCGTGCGCGACGCGGTTTAGCCGTGTTTTCCGAGACGGGCCCGGTACCTGTGCCGCTGTGTTATTAAAATATACAGCGATGATAATCATTACGCCCGCGCCTGCCGTAAAACTCGACGGCAAGTCGGCATCACGAGTCTCCCGGGTGCTCCGGCCGCGCGTTACAACGACGGGCGTAATGCTCGCGCGATTACGCTCACATTACGGGCCGTCGCGCGTTGACTGCGGCGCGGCGCGGAACGTCACGGTACCGCGACGACTGCCGGCTACGACGGCGCGTTCCGCGTGCACGACCTCGCGCGGCAGACGCCCGTGGCCGCCCGTCCCCGGGTACGTCGTTTGCGCGCGTCGCCCGAGATCGCCGCGAATCCGCGGGGCTCCGGTGCGCGCGGGCACCGGGCGGGAAAAACGAACTCTACTCCGCGCGAAACGGTTCCCGCGATCATCGCGACCGGCGATTACCGGATCGGTCCCCCCCCCGCCTCTGGCTGCAGGCGCCGCGCGTTCGGGCGGACAATTATTCGCCTTTACCGCCGCCCCCGCGAATAATAATAAAAAAAAAAACGACGCGTTCCGGCGAGTGCGACGAGCACAACGCGAAACGTAAAACGTACGGTCGCAGACGAACGCGCGCTAAAACCCGGATAGCGTAACGAGAATCCCGCGATCGCGCCGCACGCAACAATTGTACGTCGGATATCCGATCCGGACCCGGCAACAAAACAGTTTTTTAAACGAATCGGGTTTCGCCCGAACGCCGGAAACGCGCACTCGTTGCACAGCGGTTTGGTTGTTTGTATTTAGTACCGGTTCGTGTGCATTGATTATCGCCGGTCGCGCACCGAATATTTATTTATTTATTTTTCGAAATACGGGGCCTCGCCGACAGAACGCGTGTTTTAAACGCTACAAGTACACACGGTTACAATAGTAAGCAATAGTAAAATTACAACGTTAAAGAGCGCGTTAGTATTTAAACAGCAGACACATTTCGATTAGTGTCTAAACAGTTGACATTTAACATTTATGTTATATAAAAGGCCATCCTATCGTCGGTTCGTTCGGAGATTCCGATTGCCGTTGCAAGAGTTTTATTTTATTTTATTTTTTTTTAAATAATTTAATCGGAAGATACATAATGCAAGGTGGTACGGGGTTGCATAGTTTAGCGCCAATCGTGTCAAAATGTCTACTTGCGGTTGTTCTTTTAGATTCTTTTATTAGCGAATAGATTTTAGCGTATGATAGCGTGTGTTATGGGCCGCAGTAAACTACGAGTTTTCATATAAATAGCAGTGATTTTGAAAAAATTTGATCGTAGTAATAATGAACACGCGTTCACTACAGTATACGAGAAACAAACAATGCGTTTCGATTGAAAATGTACAACCGTATTGTGGAATTTACAAACGGTCCCAGGTGTGTCGAAATGAGCGGGAAAACGGATTTTTATAAGTCACCCAAACACATTACGATATTTAAAAATCACCGGCATTCTGGAAAAATGCCCAAACGCAAACCGCCCTCCGTCTATACAGGTGACGCGTATACGAGTCGGTCTCGAAATGAACTATCGTCGCGGTAATAACGAAAAAGAGATGACGCCGCAGTGGGGACGGGCGTGCCAAAGTTGTAGACTGATAATCGGGCAGGCGGAATGCATAAAGTTATTTAGTTTACGCGTCTATACGCGTCGATAAATCGTCGATGACGTAGTACGAATTCGAACTGTGTTTCGTTAAACGCGTTTGCAAAATTTCGCGATTTTTACGGTTTTCGTTAAAATTTGAACGTTAAAAAAAACCGTATAAAAACCGCTGCATAACACTCGGCGTTTTGTTCGGTTTACCACCGAGTACAACCTCGTGTATGATGTTCAAACATTACTGCTCGGCTCAAAACAATTTCATTAAATAAATACTCGGACTAAAAAAACGTGAAAATGTCAAACACCTATAAATAGCTCAAAAATAACCTGAATATTTTTTTGTTCTTTTTTCTTCAAATTATAACCGACAACAGCGAAAGGTATGCATTTACGGAAGCTACTGTTTTTATCACGTCTAGGAAAGAACAATATACGTCGTTCTGTAAAAAAATCAAGCCTTTACGATTATTATTTTTAATTGAATTACAACAATAAGACCAAGTAATCTAAAATAATGGGACCGTTATTGCCGCGTTATATTTGTCCGTTTTTCCTATACACTTTTTTCCGATTGAGATAACCCACTCAATGCACCGATTAGATCCGAAATGTTGTAAAAAGTCTTGTCTGTTTTCGATCGGAACAAGATTTCTGGTAGAAAAATCGTTTACAGACACGGCAAAAAAAAATCCACTCACATCGTAGTGAAAACAAAATTACAAACCATCGAGAATATTTCCTTCCATTTTACCCAGACTTATTTAGAACTGTTTAGAAAACCTGCTGGAAATCCGTGCTTAAGGCGATTGCAGTTGTTGAAAAAAAAAAATTGTATTTAAACCGAAAAGCTTGACAAAACTGTAAGACATGGGAATTACGGATTTTAGTTTTAAAAACGGTTTTTCGATTGTTTAAAAAATTTACTAGTTTTTGACAATAAGGGAACGAACTTAATTTTCGTTAAACGTTTTATAATTTCAACCTGTTTCACGACCACTTAATGTAAAACTCGAACAGTTTTTTTCGAGAACCGATTAGAACGTTCTGTTTTTCGACCGGGTAATCGATCCCGTATCAATCCCGTCATTCGTCGTATACGTAATAGTTCGTTTTGAACACTGTGCGAAACGAGGCATGTTTATTTACCATGATTTGCTACCTAACCTAATCGGATTTTTTTTCTTTTGACCTTAAAAAACTTTATTTCGATCAAAAATCTTTTTCCGGCCATTGACTTTATACCGTCACGGTTTCTGGTAACAATATTTTTCAAGTTGTTAAATTTAGAGGTTGATGCACTTGGACTTAAGTTTAATTTCCCTTGTAATTTTCTTAACAATTATGAAGAAAAACCGTCGGAGACACGGACGTATTACAAATAATTTGGTAAAAAATAATCGTATATATTACCGAGACGTTTCACCGAACACTTATATTAACACTTTCTAGACGCGGTACGACTTTGAACAATATATATTCTGGCGTTCCTTGCGTTATTTATACACCTATATTTGTGTGATTGTTGAGGTTTTTTTTTTTTTTTTTTTTTAAATTTTTTTTGGTT